CCGGCTAACCCGCGTCAACGCGACAGCCTTATTGTTTAGAGAAAAGAGAACACGTAACAAGGATTCTATAGTTGAACTTGCGAAAGGATCATTGTCGATGTCGGTCGCGGCAGACAACAGCGAATTCGTGACCCGACGTATGAATGCCGGTCAGGCCGTCCATCGAGACAGAGTGGGCGCCCCCGAAATTTCTTTCATGGATTTTTGCGAATATGTTGCAGCCAAAATGGAATTCCTACGATTCAGGTCGCGGCCAAAAATCGCGAACGACGACCTTGTCCGCTGTTGACGGACCCGTCGTCCAGCCGTATATTGCGAACGAGGATTCGCACAGGGTCGCCGATGAACCCGCGTCAATGCAAGAAGTCGAGTAAGCCTTATCTTTTAGACAAAATAGAACTCGTAACAAGGATTCTATAGTTGAACCTACGAAAGAATCATTTTCAATGTCTCTCGCGGCAGACAACAGCGAATTCGTGACCCGACGTACGAATGCCGGTCAGGCCGTCCATCGAGGCAGAGTGGGCGCTCAAAAAACTCCTGCATGGATTTTCGCGAATATGTAGGCAGCAAAAATGGAATTCCTGCGATGCACGTCGCGGCCAAAGATCGCAAACAACGACCTTGTCCGCCGTTCACGGACTCGTCGTCCAGCCGTATATTTTGAATAAGGATTCGCGCACGGACGCCGGCTAACCCGCGTCAACGCGAGATGTCAAGTAAGCCTTATCGTTTAGAGAAAAGAGAACACGTAACAAGGATTCTATAATTGAACCTGCGAAAGGATCATTTTCGATGTCTGTCCCGGCAGACAATAGCGAATTCGTGACCTAACGTACGAATGCCGGTCAGGCCGTCCATCGAGACAGAGTGGGCGCCCCAAAAGACTCCTGCACGTATTTTTGCGAATATGTAGGCAGCAAAAATGGATTTCCTGTGATGCACGTCGCGGCCAAAGGTCTCGAACGACGACCTTGTCCGCCGTTCACGGACCCGTCGTCCAGCCGTATATTGCGAACAAGGATTCGCGCACGGGCGCCGACGAACCCGCGTCGACGCGAGATGTCCAGTAAGTCTTATCATTTAGAGAAAATAGAACATGTAACAAGGATTCTATAGTTGAACCTTCGAAAGGATCATTGTCGATGTCTGTCCCAGCAGACAACGGCGAATTCGTGACCCGACGTACGAATGTCGGTCAGGCCGTCCATCGAAACAGAGTGGGCGCCACAAAATAATCCTGCATGGATTTTCTTGTCTATGTAGGCAGCAAAAATGGATTTCCTGCGATGCACGTCGCGGCCAAAAATCGCGAACGATGACCTTGTCCGCCGTTCACGGACCCGTCGTCCAGCCGTATATTGCGAACAAGGATTCGTGCACGGGCGCCGACGAACCCACGTCGACGCGAGATGTCCAGTAAGCCTTATCGTTTAGAGAAAAGAGAACACGTAACAAGGATTCTATAGTTGAAACTGCCAAATGATCATTGTCGATTTCTTTCCCGGCAGGCAACAGCGAATTCGTGACCCGACGTACAAATGCTGGTCAGGCCGTCCATCGAGACTGAGTGGCCGCCACTAATAACTCCTGCACGGATTTTCTTGAATATATAGGCAGCAAAAATGGATTTCCTCCGATGCACGTCGCGGCCAAAAATCGCGAACGACGACCTTGTCCGCCGTTCACGGACCCGTCGTCCAGCCGTATATTGCAAACAAGGATTCGCGCACGGGCGCTGACGAACCCGCGTCAACACGAGATGTCCAGTGAGCCTTACTGTTTAGAGAAAACAGAACACGTAACAAGGATTCTATAGTTTAACCTGCGAAAGGAACATTGTCGATGTCTGTCCCAGCAGACATTAGCGAATTCGTGACCCGACGTACGAATGCCGGTCAGGCCGTCCATCGAGACCGAGTGGGCGCCCCAAAAAACTCCTGCAAGGATTTTCGCGATTATGTAAGCAGCAAAATGGATTTCCTTCGATGCACGTCACGGCCAAAAATCAAAAACGACGACCTTGTCCTCCATTCACGGACCCGTCGTCCAGCCGTATATTGCGAACAAGGATTCGCGCACGGGCGCCGACGAACCCGCGTCAACGCGAGATGTCGAGTAAGTCATATTGTTTAGATAAAAGAGAACACGTAACAAGGATTCTATAGTTGAACCTGCGAAAGGATCATTGTCTATGTCTGTCCCGGCAAACAACAGCGAATTCGTGACCCGACGTATGAATGCCGGTCAGGCCGTCCATCGAGACAGAATGGGCGCCCCAAAAAACTCTTGCACGGATTTTCGCGAATATGTAGGTAGCAAAAATGGATTTCCTGCGATGCACGTCGCGGCCAAAAATTGCGAACGACGACCTTGTCCGCCGTGCACGGACCCGTCGTCCAGCCGTATATTGCGAACAAGGAATCACACACGGGCGCCGACGAACACGCGTCAATGCGAGATGTCCATTAAACCTTATCATTTAGAGAAAATAGAACACGTAGCAAAGATTATATAATTGAACCTGCGAAAGGATCATTGTCGATGTCTGTCCCGGCAGACAACAGCGAATTCGTGACCTGACGTACGAATGACGGTCAGGCCGTCCATTGAGACAGAGTGGGCGCCCCGAAAACTCCTGCACGGATTTTCGCGAATATGTAGGCCGCAAAAATGGATTTCCTGCGATGCACGTCGCATCCAAAAATCCCGAACGAAGACCTTGTCCGCCGTTCACGGACCCGTCGTCCAGCCGTATATTGCGAACAAGGATTCGCAAACGGGCACCGACGAACCCGCGTCAACGCCAGATATCCAGTAAGCCTTATCGTTTAGAGAAAAGAGAACACGTAACAAGGATTCTATAGTTGAACCTGCGAAAGGATCATTGTCGAAGTCTGTCCCAGCAGACAACAGCGAATTCGTGACCCGACGTACGAATGCTGGTCTGGCCATCCATCGACACAGAGTGGGCGCCCCAAAAAACTCCTACACGGATTTTCGCGAATATGTAGGCAACAAAAATGGATTTCCTGCGATGCACGTCGCGGCCAAAAATCGCGAACGAAAATCTTGTCCGTCGTTCACGGACCTGTCGTCCAGCCATATATTGCGAACAAGGATTTGGGCACGAGCGCCGACGAACCCGCGTCAACGCGAGATGTCCAGTAAGCCTTATTGTTAAGAGAAAAGAGAACACGAAACAAGGATTCTACAGTTAAACCTGCGAAAAGATCATTGTCGATGTCTGTCCTGGCAGACAACAGCGAATTTGTGACCCGACGTACGAATGCCGGTCTGGCCGTCCATCGACACAGAGTGGGCGCCCCAAAAAACTCCTACACAGATTTTCGCAAATATGTAGGCAACAAAAATGGATTTCTTGCGATGCACGTCGCGGCCAAAAATCGCGAACGACGACTTTGTCCTTCGTTCACGGACCCGTCGTCCAGCTGTATATTGCGAACAAGGATTTGCGCACGGGCGCCGACGAACCCGCGTCAATGCGAGATGTCCAGTAAGCCTTATCGTTTAGAGAAAAGAGAACACGTAACAAGGATTCTATTGTTGAACCTGCGGAAGCATCATTGTCAATGTTTGTCCCGGTAGACAACAGCGAATTCGTGACCCGACGTACGAATGCCGGTCAGGCCGTCTATCGAGACAGAGTGGGCGCCCCAAAAAATTCCTGCACGGATTTTCGCGAATATGTAGGCAGCAAAAATGGATTTCCTAGGATGCATGTCGCGGCCAAAAATCACGAACGACGACCTTGTCCGCTGTTCACGGACCCGTCGTCCAGCCGTATATTGCGAACAAAGATTCGCGCACAGGCGCCGACGAACCCGCGTCAACGCGAGAAGTCGAGTAAGCCTTATTATTTAGAGAAAAGAGAACTCGCAACAAGAATTTCGTAATTGAACCTGCGAAAGTATCTGTATCTATACCTTGTATCGAGTTACGAGGTTTTTCCACTTGCACTTGCACTGTTCGCCGCTTCTATTATATCCCTTTTCTTTCATCCTCGTAGAGATCACTTCCCACGTAAGCTTATTATGTTTTGTCTCCATGAAAGTTGGATCAAGCTCTGCCCGAATCATCAAGAAATCCTTCGTTTCTTGATGACTCCATTGGGGTAACCTAGCGGCGCCGCCGCCGCCGCCACCGGGATCGATGCCGGCGGTGCTCGCTTAGTATTGGTTATGGAGCTGCCCTGGATCCATATATATATGTGCGTATATATATATACAAAAATTAAAAAAGTAAAATACATAGATGCATAAATTTAAATTTGTGTGAACATTTTCATATATTTGTCTCTTTGTTTTCATTTTTTGAATTATTTAATTTTAAATATTTTATATTTTAGTGGTTAGTGAATCTTAGCTCTTTACATAAAGCCCAAATTTGGCCCAAAATCATTCAAAAAAGGCCCAAAAGAAAATGAGCCAACCATCTAATTGTGATAAAGTTCATATTTTATTTGCTTGTGGTTTTTTTTCTTACCACAAATTTCTTGTTCATATTTACCTTTTTTTTCGAAAATTAAATTAAATTAAATACTCCTCTATTTTAATACAATAATCTTGTTTAATATTTTTGTCCGTCCCAAAATAATAGTCTTATTTTCATAAATAATTATATCATTGTATAACTACCCTTACTCTTTCATTATTATTACTTTAGTCGTATTTTCATAAATAATCATATAATTATATAACTACATTTACACTTTCATTATTATTACACAGTTGTCATTACCTTCTATACTAATACATACTAGGGCAAAAATATCATTTAGCTATACTTTGCAAAAACATACGAATACATAAATATGAGACCGAGTATATTTTTTTTTTCACAAATGACAAATCGAAAACTAATTATTTTATTATTATTATTATTATTATTATAATTATAATTATTATTATTTATTTTTTTCAAACAAAGCAATATCAGCAATGGAAGTAAAGATCAACAGTTGCAGATATTTTCATTTCATCCATTTTCAGATTCCCAAAGATAACAATGGAGAAATCCGTGTTTCAACAACTCCTCCCCTCCCCCTCCCCCTCCCCTTCCCTCATCCTCATTTCATTATGATGATTCAAGCTCAAGCTCTAGCTCTCTAATCCAAATTCCATTCTCTGCCTGATTTCCCAATCCTTAAGGTAGGTTATTTTTTTCTTCTTTCTTATGTATACTGAAATCCCCAATTTCTTCTGAATCTGCAGTTCTCTGTTTATTTTCTGACTTCTGAGTGGAATTTGGATTCGATTCAGCAGTGTTTAGATTTGATTGTGTATTTGGGAACTAACATTACTAAAAACCCCAATTTATGCCCTTCCAACAGTTCATCTTCGTTTCAATCGATCCGTTTTCAATTCTTCGAAATGCAGAAATTTTTTTAATGTCTTTTATTTATTGGATCATAATTTGTCGCCTTGAATTGTTGTTTATGATCTTAAAATTGACAATCTCTGATTTCAGTTTAATTCTGCCAATTTCTGTTGAAGTTAAAGAGCAATTGCGTTTACAGAGTGGTCTGATTTCATCTTCGTTAACATGCTGCGTTAGTTTAAAAATCTGCTGTTATTACATAACTTATTTGCTAAGTTCGACTGTACAATTTGTTCGACGATCATGTGTTATCATTTTATATATTTTAGTATATATACATTGTGCTGTTCTGATTAATTTCTTTTTAGAAATCAAATCGCCGTTGATGTCGTGTTGTAAATTTGGAGGTTGCATTGTTGGATCAATGGCGTCCACATCTTCTCCGGCGCCGGCTTCTTTTCCGATCGGATACTCTGTTTCTATAAGTTCGAGATTTCGTTCTTCGCGATCGAATCCATCGCCTTCGTTGATCACCAAATCGCGCCGAGCGTATGTGCATTTTCAGCCTCGAGCGTCGTATAAAGTTACGATCCTCGGAGCTGCCGGAGGGATAGGCGAGCCGTTGTCGCTACTTGTCAAAATGTTGCCGCTCGTCTCGACGCTCAACCTTTACGACATCGCGAACGTTAAGGGTGTTGCCGCAGACCTCAGCCACTGCAATACGCCGTCTCAAGTCGCGGACTTCACCGGAGAATCCGAGCTCGGGAACAGCCTGAAAGGTGCGGACGTCGTCGTCATTCCCGCCGGCGCTGCCCGAAAACCCGGGATGACCCGTGACGATCTTTTCAGCATCAACGCCAACATTGTAAAGGACATGATCGTCGCGGTCGCGGACAACTGTCCCGACGCGCTGATCCACGTCCTCACAAACCCGATAAACTCGACCGTCCCTGTCGCCGCCGAAATCTTGAAGCGGAAAGGCGTCTACAATCCAAAGAAGCTCTTCGGCGTCACGACGCTCGACGTCGTCCGGGCGAACACATTCGTCGCACGCTGTAAAAGCCTCAGCCTAATCGACGTGGATGTTCCGGTCGTCGGTGGTCACGCTGATATTACGATTTTGCCCCTGCTGTCAAAGGCGAGGCCTTCGGTCCCGTTCACCGACGAGGAAGTCCGGGAGCTGACGGCGGGGATTCAAAATGCCGGGACGGTGGTGGTCGAGGCGAAAGCGGGATCCGGGTCCGGGTCCGCGACGCTTTCAACTGCGTACGCGGCGGCACGATTTGTTGAGTCGTCGCTGCGTGGTCTCGATGGGGATTGTGATGTTTACGAATGCTCGTACGTCGAGTCGGATGTGACGGAGCTGCCATTCTTTGCGTCGAGGGTTAGGTTGGGACGGGGCGGCGTCGCAGCGGTGATGTCGTCGGAGCTGGAAAGATTGACGGAGTTTGAAGAGAAGGGTTTGGAAGCTCTGAAGCCTGAGCTGAAAGCCAGCATTGAAAAGGGTGTGGCTTTTGGACAGAAGCAATCGGCCGGCGGCGGCTGAAATTTTGCTACGGCGGCCGGCCGGCGGACCGGCTGTGGAGTGCATTATATATATTGATATATGTATATGATTATATATGTACGTATCCTCTGTTATTCCAAGCCCTTTTTTGCATTAATGTTTCGACTAGATTAAGGCTGTGATTAGGGGTGGAAATATGCCACGCTGGTTTGACTCAGTTTGACCTATTTATTCAAATCATTTGCTTATTTTAAAGATTATTTAATTAATTAGAATAGTCTTTTAAACTTTACAAAAAGTCTTTTAAGTCGTCCTATTTATATATATAATTTTAATTTAATATATAAAATTTATTATATGTTTATATTTTTAAAAAAAATAATTTAGTAATAATAACCAAATATAAATTAATTAGTTTTAATTATAATTATATATATACATAAAATAATTATTATATTTATACTTTTTTTACTAATATTCAATTTTAAAAAATAAAAAATAAATTATTATATAGGTTTTTAAATAGACTGGTAAACTTAAAAATAGGCCAAACTCAGTCCTTAATACCATCCGTTACAGATATTACTTCTATTTTGTTATTTATTTTATCTCTATCATCAATGCCACATCCAACTTAATATTTACATTACTTTATTTATCATTTCTTATAAGATCCACACTAATTTATTTATTTAAATTACCTTCAAACATATTATCTTTATTATTTTATAGAATTCACACTAATTTATTTATTTTTATATATTTCTATATATTTTTATATTCTAATAATACTTTTATATAATATTATATTAAAATTTTAAATTTTAATCTATATAAATTTTAATATATTGAAACATATAATTTACTTTTTTAAAAATTGAAATTTTTTGAATAGATCAACATATATATTAAACTGATAATTTTTAAAAAAAAATTTAAATAATAATTAATTATTATTTTTTAAAATTTTTATTGAAAGTAATAAGTTGTTAAAAATAAATAAATATTGAATAATTTGAATCTCTTACTTCTTAAAAATAATTAAAAAAAAAAAATGAGTTATTATAGTAAAAACTAAAAAAATAATTATAAATATAATAAGAAGGATGACCGTAAGAGATACTTTTTATTTTCTCCTATAGGTAAAGTAGTAATTAGGGCTTGTAATAATAAAGTTTGATTTAGTAGAATATATATATATATATGAATATATCTAATATATACAAAACTTTTACATTATACAAGTAATAGATCACTGCAGTTGCAGCAGACTATGTAATTATAATTATTTTTATTAGCAAGAGTTGAAGAACTCATCATTATCTTGGCCCTCCATGAATACCCAACTGCTGCAGTTGCCATTACCATTACTACAATTAGGGTTAGGGTAACTACAATTCGGAAAATCAGATGCAGACGATGACAACTTTCTCTTCTTGTAATTAGCCTTGAAGCAGGCCTGTCTTAATCTCTTCGTTCTGCAATCGATTTCCTTGTCGGGAATTTCCTCCATTGTTCTTTTCTGAATCTCTAGATCTTCTATGGTTTCTTCCACCATCCCTCCCTCCTTCCCCATTTCCTGTCAAAATCAAAACAGAAATTTCATACAATAAAATCAACAAAATCAATATTTAATTTTTATTTTATTTTGAAAATTTTACCTGGACATTTCGAATTAGGGTTTGTAGGCTCATGAGTTTTCGATGTGGCCATCTCTGAATCCCCAATTGTCTGCACCTTTTCTTTAGAAGAGTTAGTCCGACATTCAGCTCCCTCGCAGCCTTCGTTATTGGCATGTAAAAGTACTGTGAAATTGTTTCCTTCGACAAATCCTTCGAATTCGAATAATTGTTGTTAGTATTGTTCTTGCTGTTGGTACTGTTAATGACTTCTTCGATTCCTCCCAATGATCTTTTAACTCCTGATTTGTCTTCATCCCGATTCTTGATAGTATCTTCAATACATTTGTTATCAAAATTAAAATCATAATCTTCCATTGATTGTTGATGTGGCTGCTGAGATTGATCGAACACTGCCCAATCTTCGAATTCAGTGCTGTAATTGTACTGTCCATCTCCCCCAACTGAGATATACACACACGTATATATATTTATATATGTATTATTTGTATCAAACACTAATGGTGGAATTAACATGATTTTTTAAATTTATAGTTGATTACTTGAAATGTGGGGATGATTTGGAGCATAATCTGGAAAGCTCAAGAACATGTCTGCAATGGAGAGAGGATGATAATCAAAACCAGTTTCTGAAAACCCTAATATTCCTCCTGTTTGAAAAATTCCAGAATCGTAACCATAGGCGTAGGCATCACTGTTTCACCAAAAAAACATTAAAAAAAAAAAAAAATCAAATTAGAATCAAATAAACAGTACAAAACACCAAAAATCAGAGATAGAAGAAAGAAATGAATCAAAATTAAAAAAAAAAAAAAACCCTAATTAGGGTTAGGGTTAGGGTTAGAAATGCCTGAAGGGGAGATGGGCAGGTAAGGAGAAGACATCATCGTATTCAGGCTTGATCGTTAAGCTTTCGTAGTTGGAACACCAATAATTCGCGACATTGCTGACGTTGGGCGACGATGAGGACGACGATGAAGTTGATTCCATTTTAGTGGTGGCCATAGCCATGACTGCAACCTCGAAGCAGATACAATTCTCACTTATGGTGGAGTTTCGATGTGATAGGGATGAACTTAGAAGGTTTAATTGGGAATTGCAGACACTTACACTTATCCACATATATATATATATATATATATATCTATATAGAGAGAGAGAGGGGGGAGAGAAGAGAGAGAGAGAGGCTATGGGGACAAATTGAAGTGCAGTTAAGTGTGAAGATGGGAGTGGCGATTTTAATTTAATTTTAATTTAAATTTAATTAAATCTAGAGAGAGGGAGTGTGGTGAATCGTGCGCCGTCGAACGTATTAAATATTTAATAAATTCTCTCAATGTATTTGTCCGTGTATATACATCGTATATGTTGACTCTACACGACCTTCCACGTCAATTTATTATTTATTCATACTAATAATAAATAATTTTTTTAAAAAAATTGCAATTCAAACATAATCTTAAAATGCGAGTGTGTTTTAGTTTTTCAATTCTACACAAATTTTCTAAAATTTATACTTCTAAAAACTATAATAGATAAGTATATAGAAATGATAATATAAGTCAATAAAGACTTGTAAAAAATCATTATCTATAATAGATTCATAATTTAAAACAAAAATATTTAAAACTATAAAGACAAAAAAAATAAAATAAAATAAAATAAAAAAATCCATTGATGTATATTCTATTTATAATAAATAATATTTATTTATATTTCAAAAATCATATTATGAGTGTGTGTGTTTAGTGTTTTAATTTTTATGTATTTTTGATGTAATATATGAAAAATTGCGTCAATAATATCCATAATAATAATTTGTGTTGAATATTAATTTTTCAATAGATACTATATATATTAAAAATAATATCAGTAATTTTTTTTTTGTTTTTGTTTTTGTGAACAAAACCTATATATTTTATGTGAATATATATTATATATTTTTATAATATTAATTACGAAATGTAAAAAAATATTTAATAGAAAAATACAACAATTAATTTGATAAAGATGCATTGTAGATGTAAACATAGAATACCCAAATTCCAAAATTAATTAAGATGTAGTTACTGCCAATGGTTTGTTTAGTATTAGTTTGAGTTTTTGTAATAATTATTTTGTATAATATTTTACGAAAAAAAATAAATATGTTTTTATTGAAAATAGTGAATAAAAATAAGTACCCAAAATATTAAAAATACAAACCCTATATATAAATGAGCCTTAATTAGGCCTAATGTTATAAATTATAAATATGATCAGTTTAATTTGGGCAATTGATAAATTTAGATCGTAACGGGACAAATAATATCAATTTACCTAATCATGACATATAAACTATCTATGGCTCAATAATTAGCATTCAAATCTACTATTTATTATGAATGTTACAAATTTAATTAATTAAAATAACTTTATGATGTAATATAAATATGGCAAAATTGCCCATAATTCCCTTATGGTTTCGAAACTCAGCGTAAATTTCCCCTCTATTTTAAAAATTGCGTGGTACCCCCTTATACTTTTAAAAACGTTGCATGAAACCCACCACCATGAAACTTTCCTCATGTGATAAGAAGATGATTTCCTATCTATATGTTTTGCATGACAGAGGGGGTTTTATGCAATATTTTTTAAAGTATAAGTGAGCGTCATGCAATTTTTTAAAGTAAAATGGGGATTTATGTTGAGTTTCGAAACCACAAAGTGGTTTCATGCAATATTTTTTAAAGTATAAAGGGGTACCATGCGATTTTTTAAGTAGAGGGAAAATTTACGCTGAATTTCGAAACCACAATAGAGTTATGGACAATTTTGCCTATAAATATAATTAACCGCGAACTAGAAATTGCCCCCCACTCATACATTTATATAATGTGGTAGTTACTAAAATATAATTCAATATATTTTGCACTGATATTTAGTAAATACGTATGAATATACTAATAATTACATAATTTAATAAAGTATTTTTTGGTGTTTAGTTTCATTTTTTTCTTTTTTTTTTAATATAAAATAATTTTATTTCTCTATAAAACTATATGATATGATTATCTTATAAAAATAACTAAATATAAATATCCAAAACACTATCAAAATAAAATACTCCCTCCGTCCCAAACACCGTACAACATTTGTGTTTAGCACGGGAATTTAAGTGGGGAGTATTAAGCATGGTAATTTGACATAATTTGGATTTTAAATGATGTGATTGGAGAGATAAATGATTTTTTATTTTTTTTATTTGAGTGATGTGATAGATAAAGTGAAGTGTATATTAGTATATGTATAAAAATATTATTATTTATTTCTAAATTTGAAAATATTTGCAGTGTATTTGAAACAAAAAAAAAAAATTATTGTAGAATGTTTGGAAGGGAGGAATACTAATTAAAGTGAAACTCTAAAGAATACCCGCAAATATCAATTTATTAATCACTATATTATTATTATTATTAGTGATAAAAATAATAAAATGTATTTAATCCCACAGTATAGTTAGCCAATTTTTATTTCGAGTTTAAATTAAGTGTTTGTTTGATTTGTAGTGATATTTTATATAAGGAAATACTGAGACTGAAATTAATTATTAAAAGCCTGAAACAAATGAAAAAAAAATGGATGTACTTATTTTAATATTTTAATTTGAGAAATTTTTGTATATAAAATAATATATCGATTAAATTAATTAATTGGACTTAACAAACCCACGCGTTATAGGATAATTTTTTTGTCTTGAGTTATTTGTTTGATTTTGATTTGAAATAAAAAAATAAAAGAAAATTATACCCAATATTAAAAATAAAATTCTAATTATAATTACTGGCAAGAATTATATACTATTGATTAACAAAAAAAGAACAAAAGGTACTTCATTTTTGTTATTTTGTAATGTTTTGATTACTATTATTTTTAAGAATAAATAATTATTGATTCATATAAAAAAATAAATTGATTTTTAATGAAAACATACAATAAAAAAAACATAAAAAATATACATAACCAAATTAGATAGATCGTAAATATATTTTAGCCACCAATAAAAAATGGTGATTGGTAGACTTGAATCCAAACACAGTATTAAAAATAGATAAAATTTCAATAACTATAATGAAGCAAAAGGTGCAAACAAAGTAGTATTAGTAAAGTACTGTAGTTTCATCTACCGCCGCCGCGGCCACGGCCATGTCCTTGCCGGCGACCGCCGCCGCCCTTTCCCCGGAGGGCCTTATTGACATCATGTTTAATTTGCATGTTTTCCGGCAGGGGAAGAATGTGGTCGACGCACTTTCTGAAGCTGAAATCATCGACTGATTCGTCCTCCCTTATGATGAAGAAACAGCGGCTTCTAAACTGAGGATGGAATCGGACCTGGAAATGCTTCACGCCCGCGCCAATCTTCCTCTCAGCCTCCGTGTGCCCTTTCTTGATCAGTTCCAGCAACACGACGTGCTCGTACTAAAACACGTGAAATTAAAATATATGAATGAACAAGATGCTCGTGTGATTGAATCATAATTTAAAATGTCAGTTTCAGCACACTGGATGATACCTTGAAAACATATGTATGATCTTCAATGCATCTAGCGAGTTAATTCACGCAATCGACTAATGACAGATAAATAGGATAGCTATCGTCCTTATAATCAAGAAAATTGCTCTCTACATCAACCTTACAACAATCAGTGAGTTATGCGATAAAATTTATAGAAAAAATCTTACACATATATGTTATACACAAAACTTATGCTTACAGAAATACTCTTCAAACTTTTGACATATTTTTTCCATGCATATCACATCAAGTACTTTCCCCTTTTTTTTCCTCAGAAAACATCTTCCAAGTTCCAAAATTATACAAATCAGACTTTCAAAACTTCGATATAAAGGAGCTAGAAATTACCTTCTCTATGTGTGTATATATATATATATATATATCTATATGGGCTTTACAATGATATCGAAAAGTTGCAATAGTACCTACCGGCGCAAAGATTAGGCTCTAGTCTAAATCCAAATGCACAATGCAGTGTCTAACCAACCATAAGACAAATCCGAACAATGGTTTTGATGTGTATGCTTCTCCCAAATTAAAGTAACAGAGTGAAAGAATCGACCTCAGATTTGATCTTTAGGCAAAGTTCTAAGATGAACAAGAATTACTAGATAAAAAAGAGTTGCAATTTTGAAAAATTTTCTGCTAAATAACACGACAATCATCAAATTGCTGTAAAATTCTACATTATCTTAAACTATCTCAAACCACATTACATTACCATCAAACAAGATACACAGTAATTACTGTATCAATCAATTCAATTCCAGATGTCACAAATTATCTTAAAATATCTCAATCCATGCATTACCATCAAACAAAATACACAGTAATTACTGTAAGAATCAATTCGATTCCAGAGGCCACAACCATTCTATATTACTAAACTTCCAATTAAACTAATGCAAGCTATCAACAGTTACTTTGTCGCCATAAACCAAATAAATGAAATCCAAAAACAGTAAAAATACTACCTTATTGAGATTGATGTTAGGGCACCAAGTATGAAGAAGCTTGTAGAAGTAATCAAACATCTCGACAGAGGATCCGAACGCCTTCGGTCCGATAGCCACCGGATCAGACTCCTTTCCTTCCTCGTCCGCTTCCTTTTCTTCCTTCTGGTCCTCTAATTTCTCCTCTGACTCAATCCGTCGCTCCTCAACAGATTTCTCATCCTCTTCCACTTTCGCTTTCTTCTGCTCACTTTCTTCCGCATCATCGCCTTCCTCTCTGGGACGCTTCGAGATTCCATTCTCAGAATCCTCAGCCTCCGCCTGATTCCCGCTCACAACCTCCATTGGCACTTCTGAAACCGCCTCTTCTGCCATCAGTGCTGCAACTAAAAACCCTAACTCTCAAATTTGCGCTCAGAAACTGCTCTGTACATATATTTATACCTTCACCTAAGAAACTGCTTAATTTTGGGCTTCCATAAAATTGCGCTATTTCCTTTCATGGGCCTCTCACAAAAGGCCCCTATATCTGAGACTGGGCCTTTTTCTTGATGTCCAGCCCAAACATTGAATTATTTCTACAAGCATAAATATTCACAAAGAAGATAGTAAATTATATTACACTGCTTAAAAATACACAAAATATTTATTTCGTAAATCCCCTTATATTAACATAAAATTTACACGAAACACTCTCACTGTCCAAAATTGATATTTGATTTTAAATAAAAACTTAAAGTACGCAAGTTTTATAAAAAAAAAAATATAAAATATCTTAAATAATTTTTATTTATTTATTTTTTTTTAACGAACGTTCGTAAATAAAACTTAGACTTATTTGTTAACAAAAAAAATCTATTTATATTGTTCAATTCAACTCAAGTCGTTTATGTTAGCAAACGAGCTTAAACCAAGCCGAATCGAACCAAATTCAAAAACGACTTAATTCGTTTAATAAATTTAAAATTTATAGTAAATTCACCAACAATAAAATGAACATCCACCAACAATAAAATGAACATCTAACACCTTTATAGTAGAAAAAATAGAATGGATTTTCCAGCGCTATAATAATGGACCCTAACAAAGATCAGCATGCAATTGGAGAAAGAATTTTTATTTTATTTTATGTAAAGGTGTATAATTTGTTTTCGAATTTTGTTTAAACAATATTAATTATGATATCTTCTAAGAAAAAAAAGAAAAAATTGGAATTGCAAAGTGGGGTTTTCACAAAACCTAAAAATAAAGGGAAAAAAAAAAAAAAAAAAAGTAGGGTAGTTTCTTGGGGTGGGATTCTTTTCTTTTCTGTGACCATCTTCATCTTCACCTATGTTACTTACATACACTTTCTCTGGCTTTTTTGCAGTTTGCAGCATAGCATCATCATCATCATCATCAGCAACAAGCTTTAATTTGTTAATTAGTTAATTAATTAATTAATGTTGGTCTAAAGACAGGGCAAGGAATCTTGTTGCAAACATTCTTTCTTGCCTTTTTCAAGTAATATGTTTGTTCAGGGTATTTTTCGAAATTGATTTAAAATAAAGTTGTTAAATTAAATATTTTATATATTTTTATTGAAAATTGAATAAATAAATAGTTATAATTTTAAATTTAAATTAAAACCAAACAAATTGAGTATTATTTGAATTTCTTGTTCAAACCTGTCTTTATGTCAGGCCTTAGATATATATAGGCTTGCATGTTCTAAAACAGCCTTTGTATTGCTTCCATGGTAGGTGTATCAACAACCATTTTGTGCTTTATTGCTTTATTCAATCAATGCATTAAGGCTCCTTTGTTAAGACGTGGTTTTGAAGTATTTTTGAGAATTTTTTTTAAAAAAAAAAAAAAAAAAAAAAAGCAGCAGTACTAAGTTCAGCACTGTGCTGAAAATTACAGACAATACATAATATTATTACAGATATGTTATTATAATATAAACATTGTACATTAACAAAACACACATGCTATAATCTCAACAACACATTGTGTGTGCTGTCTGAACAATATACAGTATTATTACAGATAATACACAATATTACTACAGACAACACGTTAATATAATATAAATATAACACATAAACTAACAACACATGTTATAGTCTCATACAATATATACAACATTTAATTTTAGCACATGATATACTCTTATACAACATACTTGTTACTATTAAAAAACAATACATACATTTATTATACACACTATATGTTGTGTGTAATAATAATGTGTATTGTTTGTACTGATTTTTTCAAATAAGCATCGTAAAAATCCTCTTTAACAAAATGTTAAGTGTACTATACATAGCCTCTATATATATATATATATTTGCCCTTTCTATAAATTCTTACAACATAGTTTCCAAAGAACAACTTTGCTTGCTTCCTCTTGTCTTGTCTTATCCATTTTGTCTCTTCGGGTTCGAAATATGCGCGGTATTTCGGCAATTCAGACAATTTTCTTCATCCTCAGAGTGTTGTGTGTTGGGTTTCTCTCCTTCCAGATCAAGACAGGCGAAGCTTTGAGCAGCGCAGACCTCGCACTAAGATGGGGGCACGGGAGATCGGTCCTTACAACTTCCGCGATTCAAAATTTGGACAGCACCTCGCTGTGGGGAATGAATGTCCTCCCTGACATCGCTCCCTCTCCTACGACGAATTTCGAGATATATCGGTCGGGTAAAAGAAAAGTTCAAGGAGGATCCGATCCTATCCACAACCGAAACTAATGCATACAAAATTTTGAAGTTCATCGATGAGGTTTGTTATGATTCGAATTAGTTAAATGACCATCTCACCTAAAAACTTAAGCTAATAGAGAAATATATTATTATATACTTTATCCGTCCGATTCTAAGGGTCACATTTACCTTTTGTGTCATTGTACTTAACATTAAAAATATATTTATATTTATATAATTTTTTTTGTACAAATGTCCTTTTATTAGTGTAATAAGACACTAATAGGAGTATTTATGCAAATTTTTTCTTAATTTATACTACATCTTGATATAATAAATAATATTAAAAAATCAACACGCAAAAAGTAAATAAGACCCTTAGAGCCGGACAGAACTAGTATTAATAACGTATAATATAGTCTCCCAACATAATCGATGACCTTACATCATCGAGATTATAAAGAGTTGCGATATTCGTACATCTTTCGAAGATCGAACACAACCAAGAGACATATATTATCATCGACAAAACGGTATATACCCTAACGAAGCCGTTTTACCTTCTCGTCGAGTGATTTCAAGTTCTTTAATTGATCGATTTGCTACAAATTCTTCGACCGGTATCTATTCTTCCTATGAATAAACAACTGCGTCGATTTCAATTTCGATTTTGATTTCGCCTTTCGCGCGATGCTCTGCCAAATCATGTCGACAGCGTCGTTACGTCGAGAAGGGTATTGGTACTCAAAATGCCGACTCACTTCCTTCAATCTCTCCCACATTTTAGTCCATTTTTTTCGGGCGATTCCTCGGAGAAGCTTCACAAGGTATCCCTTTTCCACAGCATCGGACGCTCGGACGAAAACGCAAAACTCTGAATAGTCGAGAATGTCTTCAAACGGTAGCTCGATATCGTCGCTAATAATCACGGGAACGCAGTGGCTAACAATGGCGTCGAACAATCGATTCGACGAAGGCGTGTCGCCGGCTATCGTAAGGCAAAATTTCGATGACGCCATCCCTTCACCCGCCTCCCGCACGCCGTTCGCCTGAACACTCCCGAACGAGAAATGCACATCGTTCTCGTCTTTTAGAAGGTAGTACAACTCTTGTCGAATCGCTCCGCCCTGAAAATTCACGACGACAAATTACACACCGTTATCGAACATTTTCCGATCGAAAATCAATATAACGACATCGAATTCACATAAAGCTCACGTCTTTCCGATAAATCGCGCCCTGAAAATAAATCAAAGTTGGCCTTTTATCGAACGGCGCGGAATTAGCAGCCGAAACCGATTGAACCATGTGCTTATACGGCGCAATCACGTCCTTTTCCATATTGGCAATATGCGACGGATACCTCCCGAAGTCTGCGAGCACGAACGTCGCCGAAGAACCGATCATGTTTCGCGCGAACATCATGCTATTCGGATGATGCGCGACGATCAAATGATTCCGACCCTTCTTCCACTCTATTCGATCATTCAAAAACTCGACTAATCGTCGCTGCAGCTGCCGGTCTAAGCTAAGCTTCTGATTATCCTGAATCTTCGAATGCCGATTATAACTCAACGACGCGAAAAACGGGACGAAGACAATGTCGGATTCGCTCGAATTCAGCACTCTAATGGCGGTACACGGTCTGATTCTAAGTACATTGGCAATCTCCGAAGAGAGCAGATCGAGCAGCAGCCAATACTCGACGCTGTGCTGTTGATTTAAGCCGCCGGGATATGTCGGAATCCGATTTGGATCGCTGACGTCAGGCCATGTTTCGTCGCCATTGGGGATCCATCCCAAGAGCTTGAAATGAAAATCGGGGGGCAAATCGTAGATGTAAACCCTAAGAAGAGGTTGTTCGTCGTTGCAGGATGTTCGAACATCCTTAATTCTGCCATGTTCGGACCTCAAATTGATCGACGGATTTTGGGAACTGGTACGCGGCGGCACGATTAGTCGGAGGAACGATGAGGTGCGGGAGAGTTGGAGCAGAGAAAAGGAAGATGAGATTAGTAAGAAGATGGAGAAGGTGATTAAGCAGGACAGAGGCTTCGATGGCAGCCTGGGCTTGTCTGAAACAGCAGAGGAAGAAGAAGACATGCTCGATTTTTTTCGAAAAATCAAAGGTTTTTTGCAATTAATGGAATTGGGGAGTGATGAAGAAATCCCCAATCTAAAACCCTAACCATTTTTTTTTTTTTGAACAGAAGACGAAAAGGGCGAAATGAACAGAGGATCGAAAGTAGAATGAAATCAGAGAGTAGCGACAAGTAAAGATCGAATTTGAAACTCCATAGCTGAAATTGAAGTATGAAAAATGAAGAAAATTAGAGAAGTGTACCTGGACGGGAGTGTGGGGAGCGGGGTGGGCGTAGGCTGTCTTAGGCTGCTGTATTTTGGTTATAGGAAATTGTTGGAAAGTGGTGTGAGCTTTTTGAAGGTGGTGAGAAAAGGGCTTGCTCTGCTTCTCTATAATGAACGACGGGCCGTCTTGGAATATTTTCAAAATAATAATAATAATAATAATAATAATATATGTAATATAATGAAATGATAAAATCTGTTTTTAACGTAATTAAATTATATTAATAATATTATTGTATAATATATTTTTTCCGTCTTAATAAAGTAGATTAATTTAGGTGAATAAATTAATAATAAAATATACATTCTATATATATTTTATTATATTTTATCATGTTTGTTTGTGTTTTATTCTATTTTATTTTATTTGTGTGATTTTTTATGTATATGAAATTGTACTCTTTTTTATATAGATTAATATTGGTGAATAAATTAATAATGAAATATATATACATGATATTTTTATATTACTTGTATGATATTTTATTAATTAGATGTGCTGCTTATATTATAATGATATAATTTTTTTAATAAAATTATTAGTGTAAAATATAATGATAATTTTTTTATGAAAAAAGAGTATTGTTATTTGCTTTTTAAGTTATATTTTTTTTAATAAATAAAAATAATATATATATTTTTATAATTGGTTGAATATTAAATAAGTTATATATTTTTTATTATTTTTTAAGAAAGATAAAAAAAGAGAAGAAACATGGCATGAGATCAAAATTACAATTTTACTCTAACTGTTACAAGAATCATTGGATTAATTTTTGATAAAATAAAATTATAATTTTACTCTTAACTATTATAATTCCGTTGGATTAATTTTTAATCCAATAGATTATAATTAATCAGTTCGTAGTAGCTTTCCCCATATATTTTATATATATAGATATTCACAGTGGCTAGTTACTGGTTATCTATCTATTTATATATTACTGTTTTCGTCCACTAAAAATAGCTCATTTTGTGAATATTTTATTTAAAAGGTGATAGGTAGCTGAGTGTATGTTTGGAAATTTAGTTAGAAATGAAAATAATTGAATAGAAAAAAAATAATAAAATTAAAGACTTTCCCAAAATTAATAATAAAATAAATTTAGCGATGAACTAAAACAAAAATGAGAATAAATTTGACGGACGATATAGAACTATATTTTTTGCGAACGAAGGTAAGCAAAGCTGCAGAATGGATCTTTCTGCAAATTTAAACACAGTAAAGAAACAAGAAGTTATCGAGTAAGATATGCAAGCAAGCAAGCAAGCAGACAGATGATTCCATTGAGACCTTGGAGTTCAATAATAATAATAATAATAATAATATTGTATCCAAACCTGAGAGTTGTAATACTTTAGGGGTCCCTTTTCTTTGACCTGACTTTGAACTTCAACACACACATCATAAATCCTATAACACTAACACCACAGGAGATGATATGTATATATATATATATATATATATATGTGCAATCTACAAAAATGAAATTACCTGGGGTGGGTAGAGAAAAACGAAATAATAAAATACGAGAATTTAAAGTGGTTTGGTGTCACAATAGACTACATTCACGATCCCAAAATGGGATAATTCATACACTAAAATATTTATTTACAATTTTTGCACGGACAAAATTATAAAATCCTCATCGCAACAATTCACCAAATTCCAATTTCACTCTCTTTAATTACTAAAAAAAAAAAAGTTTGTTATCATTTCTTAAAATAGGACTTAAATTAGTCAAGTTATAGGAGCCAATGCCCCCACTGTTTTATTACACTTCCTACGTGGAACATTATCCTCGATAAAAATATAGAAACTACACAAAGTCAAGAGAATCAGAAAAATACTTACCTACATCAACAACCATTTCATCAATCTCACATATATCTTCTTTCTATCTTTTCAACTGATGTACACTTTTGAGATTCTTGATCTTGCAATAGAGAGAGGGACTTTGTCATCATCCATGGAAGAATCTTACCCTCATAATTTATCAATCATACTCATCTCTTCATCTTTGAATTACCCCACAAATTAATGCCCCCAACATGCTCTACAATTACATACACACATATGTATACCAAATCAGTTATATGCATGACTAGTTGTTACTATTATACACATCATTGACAAAACTTCCAAAGAAAAGTGCATGAAAGATATATGAATGATAAATAAAATTACCTTCCATAATGGAAAGTGTCAGCAAAGAATACAAATAAAATAAAATAGTTATTCGGGATTGGTTCGAAAAAAAAGAGAGTTAAAAATAAAACAAAGAAATTTATAATAAATTTAGAGGAATATTACTTGAATGTATAGTTATTCAAGATTGGTTTGAGAAAGCTACACAAATGGGCTCAAATATTTCAAACTACAAACCGGCAAATTTACCTTTTTTCGACTTCAATAAATATATTTTAGCTTATTTTGTAATAATTATGATTTTGAACTTTGTCGCCGCACACGAATGTGTATGTACACAATGCGCTGATCATGCTCCACGTGTATTTGACGCATCCTCAGCCACGCATTAATTATTGTATATATTGTACATGATCTAGCTAAAAAATACATGACCTTATTCAATGCTCCTAACCTCATTTTCGTCAAGATCGGGTGTTCTCAGTACAATTAAGTCAAACATATGTTATTATTCTCAACCACTTAGTTAGAGATATACAAATTATTCATGAACAACCTTAAAAGAAAACTCATATTTCGAAAATTTTGAGAATCGATCAACTATTATAAAATAAATTTGTACCAACATTGGGGATAAACAAAATAAAATCCATTATGGTTAATTAATTTTTTAATATGATATGTATGTATTTAAGAAAATTAATATATACAATAAGAAATTATTTACTTTCATTGATAATATTTGATATAATATATATATTTTTAAAATTTTTACATATGAATAAAATAAATAGGAAGATTATGTTCTTCTACCAAATAATTTTATTTTATTTTTTCTAACAAGATATTATATCAAATTATTATGTAAATATATACACAAACAAAATATCTCCAATAAAAATATTTGAGATCGAGAGCTTTATATTTATTTATTGATTTCATTTTTTTGTTATCTTCTTAAATATTATATCAAATATTATTTCTTAATTTTTATATCAGATTTAATAAGTATTTTATTTTACAAAATAAAAAAAAAAATACACATCCATATAAACAAATTGAACTGTAAAAGAAATAATACAAATCCACGTAATTCATTTTTAATTTCTTTATTATGTAATTCATGTGACAATAATACATTATTTTCTTTAACAAACCAACGTACAATAGACCTTTTTTCTACCCAAAAAAAAAAAAGAAAGAAAAGAAAAAACACACAATAATTATAGTAAAACTTAATGGGAATCTTTGAAGTTAATAATAACAATAATAATAATAATAATAATAATAATAATAATAATAATAATAATAATAATAATAATAATTATAAATTTAACAATAAAATAACACCAAATTTGAATATTAAAATATCTATATGGTTTTCTTGTTACGACATATCATTTTTGAATTATATCTAAGTTTTATTTTTTTAAAAAAATATGATAATAAATTTATACATATATTTGGCCACGTCGGATATTTGTACTAAATTCACGACATTATTAGGCTGATTATGAGTGACTAGATTCAAATATTTTACATTTAGATCACGTGTGAGTTATATATATTTTTTATATTTGGCCAAGTCGGATATTTATTCCAAGTCCACGAGTTTATTAAAATGATCATCATGTGCGAGCATATTCAAATATTTTAGATTCAGATCACGTGTGACTTAGATTAACATATAATATCAATTGAATTTTGTGAATTACTCAATAGAATATCAAATCTTTTAATTGCAATTACCTTTCTTGATTTCATTTATTTATTTACTTATTGTTGTCATTAACTTTTTTGCCGTTTGAAAGTAACTAAAAACAATTCACAATATATAAATATCCAGAATAGAATAGATAATAATTGAAATACATCAACATCGAACATACCTGAAATAGAACAACTTACATTATATAAATATCCAAAATAAAACGAAAAACATGACCGAACATCAAATATAAATATGCAAATATTTTTCCACGACGTTTTCAATCGAACTCAGGACTTTCGAGAACTTCATGTGTCCTAAGGAGGTGGTACCTCCTTTGGCATCCACATCTGGCACAAATAAACTCAAAGGTCGTGCCTGGACCACCTCCGGCCACAAACTCTCGACATCCATCCACTGTGTAGGTTCCATCGTCATGCGCATGTCTCACTAGGCATTCGGCATAGTAAGGGATACGTATAATGCGCGGGCCCCAGTCCCCTGGAGGTAAAGCGGCAACCCTTTTTCTCTTCATTTTGTTTTCTTTTTGAATTACTAACTACCTTGTAATGATACAATGAAAACATATATAGATACACATGTATATATAGGCATGGAAATATGTAGGATGTGCTATTACATGTGCTGGGTAATGATTTTCATGCTTATATGCACAGCATCAAAATCATGTCCCCACACATGATAAAGCACACTCCTTGTTTTATTACCAAATTTGTGTTTGTCTGTATGTTAATTGAGATGTGTTCTTCTAGAATATGATGGTTATTACTCCCTCCATCCATTTTCTATTGTCCTAAAGTATATTTGCACGGTTTTTTAGGTGATTGTCTTTTTGTTATGAATGGACAAATTTGTCCTTAAATGTACGGTAGAGATTAAAAGTAATAAATGAATGAAGGGTAAAAATGTAAAATTTGTGTTTAAAAAAAAGAAATAGGTGTACGTACCAAATAGGAAAGTAGGACATTAGTTTGTGCAGGGGGAGTATTATTTTTTTATGATAGTTTGAATTTAATATTTTATGAGAAAAAATAATGTATTTTAATAGAGAATCGTATTAGTTATATTCTAAACAAAATGAAATTAAACTCTGACGTAAATAATGTAGCTTCATTCCTTAATTCTTAAAGTATATATTTTTTTACACATCAAATATTATTATTTTAATACATTTTTAAATTCAATACATTAATATT